ACAAACGTGTAAACCTATGTTTATTCAAACGAGTTCGCGGACCAGCATAATCGGACCATGGAAACGGGGGTTTACGGGGTAAAATGGGGTTTTACCATTTCTTCCCCTAAAAACAAAAGATTTTGCAATTTCTTTCTAAACTATTTTGTAGAGCTTAAAAATAGAAATAATTTAGTATCTTAAAGCGTTGTTGTATCTCTAACGGTCACAGAGAAAATAAAAAAAAGTTATTTAAAATTGCCATGTTATTTTTATGGAGGAAATGAAATTTGTTGTAGTTTACTTGTTCATGGATATATGTTGATAAAATTTGGCAAATTTATTTTTTTCATCCTATACTATTGACCTATGGTCAAAAAACACGCTTTACCTTCCCCGTAGCAGCAAAACTAAGCACTCGTTGATTCCAATGTTATTTAAATTGGTAATAACTATGTCTTATTTATGGAAGTATTAGAGTAAAAATGTAATCAGACAAGTTTAAATTCGCTTAGTCTGCAGGTTTGCTGTGGCGGGGGTAATTTTTCTTATAACAGGTCTTGTGTAGCATGCTTACAAGTTATCGTAATCATCAGTTAAAAAACTTCAAAAATAAAAATAGTTATGTATAAAAAAACAAAATTGATATTTAGTTAAATGTGAATTTTCGGACATACCTTCACATAAATTATTTTCTTCCTTATACTGTAGTATGAGTATTCATATCCCAAAGTCCTGAAACGTTTTTTATGGACACCCTGTATAACGGGGATATCTTAGCTTTTAAAGGGTTCATATTAAAGGTGAACTTTGTATTGGCATTTTTTATACCATTCAAAAATTAAAATTAAAATATTAATTTTATTTGTCGATCTTTAATTAACTTGAAATACACCTTAAAGAAACCATTAAATCAAAACTATCTTTGGTGAATTAAAAAAGTTTCGCTAGTGTATCGCAACATAACTATTCCAGGCATTCTGCCTCTTCCTTAAGCTTTTATGCGTGTGATTAAGCATTATATATAATGGCTACACTAGGCATTTTCTAGAATGCCCTCAGATCTGTTGGGTGAAGTTTTAAATAAAGAGATTTATTTCATAAAAAAATTTACTATAAAGTATTCATATTTTTTCTGTTGATAGGCAAGGTTGCTTTGGTTTAGAATAGATTCTTCTAAACAAGGAAACACAAGTAAAAAATGTTCTACTAGAGTGAATTTATACGTTCCCTCTAGTGAAAACATGGATTCTAATTCCAGTTCTAATTTTATGAAATGACTTGGTAAATTGTGTGTTTGGATTTATTTATTTATTTTTCTGACTCATTTTAGACGATACATTGATTACATGGGAATTCCATAAAATACCTGTTTAAATACGTCGTTGGAAAACATATATAATGAAAGGAGATTTAAACAACAACTCAATTTACATAGTAAAGATTGAAAACTATATTTCAAAACTATATTATATCGTTCAAATGACCATCAATATTTTTTACGGTTGTTACTGTAACAAGACGATTTAAGTTGTGCTTAAATGTTTGTTACGCCTTCCTGATAATTTTTTTAATGGCAAAAGGCTATTTTGGATTTTTGATAGAGCTTGGTAAAATTAAATAAAGTACATATCCGAGCTACCGAAACGATAAGTTCCTTCTGTCTAATTTGGTTGACCCCCCTTGTTAAAACAGTCTATTAACACATGTCACATTTAAATGTGAACGATTGTGAGGACTATGTTCTTTTTATTATAAAACATTTTTCCATTAAATAAATTCTAGAAAAGCCTTACTAATAACATTAATTCAATCCTGACTAACCGTCACTGTGGAACTTATTTACAAAGGTATTAAAACTTAAATCAATGGAAAGATAATTATTAAAACATTCGCCTGGTAAATTAAAAACAGATTTGAGTCTAGAAAAATCTCTAGAAAAAGAATACGTAGGATGCAATCCGAAGTAATAGTATAACGAAAATATTATATAAATTGTGTTAGTGGAACCTAACGCAGAAAAGAAGTTTTAAAACTCAATATTGTACGAATTTAATACTCATTCCTCCTCCTGTGCATTAATGATTTTATTTTATTAAATATAACATATCGCTTAACATTTTCTTACTAGTGAATCACCCTTTTATTTTCAACAGTTAAATAATTGTTTTTTTTTTATTTAGTTCCAAAATTTCTAAAAAGTGAAGAGTGTTTCTTTTTTCTATTTTATTAAATTATATTTTATACTGTATATTTAAACAGCAAAGAGTCATATAACTTCATTATCATTTTAGATTAAAACAAATAATGCTTAAGTGTCTTTTAATGCATTTTATTCATGGTTCACCCTTTTGACTTAATATTTAATGTACTTTTAAAACCATACGAAACAATCATATACACTATATAAACATATGTGTGTACGCTCTCACTCAATCTATGAAACAATAAAGATTTTCTGATTTCTAATATTTAAAACATTACAAATAAACACAATCCAGCTACAGAAAAGTGAAACAAAACATAAAAATAGCTTTTATATGGCAGTTTTAACCCTGAAGTGCATTTTAACAGTTGTATCGTCCATTGTTTCTAGACTAAGTTTAACAGCGAGTCAGAAACAATACGTTCAACACAATGATGCTCGCAAATGATTTAAACTTAAATTCACTGACGAAAAGCTTTTGTAAAAGATTCCCCTTTTTATTCCGGACGAATTTCTCCACCCGCTTAGTCTGAGTTAAATTATGACGTAATTCGCATTCGCGATAAACGTGAACATTATGTCATGAAAGCGTTATTAGAACTCTTAGATTTAACTGGGAACATTTCAATTGCTTTTTTCATATTTGAACATGCTTGGGATTTGCGGATAAGTTATTGATTTCAATTTGTCTTGTGCTAGGTTAACTCTGTTTTTACATTGGTAGGTAAGATTTATGTAGGTTTAAAAAGTCGTTTGACGTAAGCCTCATTTATCGGTATAGTAACTACACTATAGTTCAACAATAGTATCACATTAACACAGAATATTAGTTGACTGTTGGCTTTAGGATTAACACAGTGGATATTTTACACGCCTGAGTATCCTTTTTTGCATTTTTGCAGTTTTTATTTATATATTGCAGTTGAACGAAAATATTTAAACCATTTACGTTCATCTCTTCGTTTTCATGTCGAATGTCGTACGAGTATACAATATTTATTTCAACCTTTGACGCAATAAAAACTGTTAGTTTAGTCTAACACTTCAAACACGGATCTCCAAAATAGCCGCATTACCTCTGGATTGCGAAGTAGGCAAGAAATTAATATATATTCATTATTTATAATTTAGTAGAAGAACGTCTGAAGATAAGTTCCAAACCACATATCCATTTCATTGCCGCAGAACTAATATAAATTTTATAATCGCCTGAATTCAGACCTGGGGCTCTAAAACAGACTTGCCCTCTAATTATTAGTCTAGCCGCACTCTTATATTGTGTGTTATTTATATAAATGTGTCTGTAATTAATATTGTATTAATGACTTTAAACGGCTTTTGTGTTGATGAGACGAATAACTTAAACAACAACACATGGTCCTAATATTTAGTTCATGAAGTGTACCTAGTAGTATAGTATTACGATACAAACCCACATATTTTTATTAACTGTCTTAAAGAAACTATCACAAACAAGAAAATTGTTTAGGAAAATACTATTTTCTTTAAATCAATACGTATTGCTTAGTCATTTTTTTTAGTTTCATAAAGTACTTGAAAACAATAACTGTAAAAATGCAGCATTGAGTAGAAATGAGCTGCAGTCGTATGAATTGTTATTACTGTGGTTTGGTAATTCAAAAATGTTTGTTAGAAACGAATCAAGGACATTTATGGTGATATTGAGGTCAGAAAAACATTTATCATTCACTAATCTGTAATTCATCCCACCTTTAATTGAACTTTGTATAAAACTAATTGAAATAAATGTCCAAAGATTTTAAGAAATATTTCTCACTGGACTACATACAAAACATATTGCATGTAATATAAATCCCAAAGTACCCGTTAACTTTTGAGAAAACTAAAAGTCACACTCCCATTAACCACATACTTAAAATGTTCGTCATGACGAGAAACCTTGCAAAAAACTATCCATTATTTCATAAATTGCTCTTAAAGGTCGTAATTTCTCTCGAAAGGGAACTTTCCATATACCTAATGTTAAAAATACCTCAGCTGTACTTATTTGTTTGTATTACTCTTATTTTTTTTCAGCATAACTTAACCAAATAGTTTTATTAATACTTAAAAAGTCAAACGGGATGAAGCCCGTGGGTAACAGCTAGTTGCATAAAATAATACTTTTCATTAAAAACCATATTAGTTAAAGAAAACATAAAAAAATACTTACGATTGAAACATTTTAACATTTTATCAAAATACCATCAACATCATCAAACGACTATCGCGTAATGGGAAAATAACTTTGCGAAAATGGATTTATTGTTATTATCGTAACAAACTATTCATCATGGTGCATTAATGTTGCTACAATATTTTACTAGATATTAAACGTTAGGACTGCAATACGTTTAATCCTCCTTTAATTACCCTCTTAGAATTGACTAGGGTTTGAAACATTTGACAAGTTTGCCAATACATATTGTTTGTACTTCTTGTAATAATAAAAGAGTATAATGCATAGCTTTGGATCAGAGCTGAAGAAAATTAGTTAGATTAATTAAATAAATAAATTTGTGAATATTCATGTTTGACTGTAAAATCAGACCGTCTGTTTTATTTTCATCTTTCACAAACTGACTTATACTCTTCTAGTACTAAAATATCATTGGTTATAAAACACGTTTACAAAAAACTATTTAATTTTATTTCAGTTTTTCGCTGTGTGCTTTGTGTATTTTAAACATTCTTTTACCTAAGCAACTTAAGACTATTTATTTAACTATTTGTACAATTTAGCTATATTAATGGACAGGGGTATGTTTTATTTACTAATTACTTGTAGACGTACCAGAGGCTATGAGTACGAACGTCAGCAGTATCGGTAGCGGCAGAGGCAGCATTGCTGAGCGGGCACATGTCAGACACTGGCGCGGCGTCAGCGTGCATCGCCTCAGCTGTCGTCATAGCAACGCATTGTTGCCCCCACCACCACCCTCCCATTGTTGTCTCCATGGCAACATATTGTTGGGTCCCCTCCCCTCCACCGCGATACAACCCTTGTGTCCCCTGGCCACTCCCATTTGATGTTTTATCCACTTGTACGTTTTAATGACTGCAAATAGCTTTTTAATACGGATTAATGGATGGCCTTTGAAGAGATGGGTCATTGATGCATTTCGTTTTGTAAAATACGTCATGTTACCCGATGATAGTAGTTTTGTGAAAATAATTTGTTTCAATATAGTGAATTGAAAATTTACATTTAATACTCAAACTAAAGAATCTATATCGGAAAAGTATTAAAGTATTTTAATTATATTTGTCAAAATAGTGATTTTTAATCAACCATCACGAACTAAGGGATCATGTAATACGATATTATAAATTAGTTGATTCATTGATAGTCTTATATCATTTTATAGGTGTAAGGAAAAATTTTAATTACATTTTAAAACCTATACGAAACAAATGTACTAAGTTTAATCGAAAATTGTGCATCATGCTTGTTTAAGCTTAATCTTCTTATTCAATTTGCAACGGATTACTGAAGAAGTAATAAATTTAGGAAATATTATGTATTGACCTTTAATAAAAGGGTTAAGCTCACAACCAAAACGGCAGTCATTTGTTTATTCGGTGTTACAATATATGTGCAAATGTAAATCGATTTGTATGAAACAATAAAAATACATTCTACGAATGATTTTTACGAGTTTCAACTACTAAAGCACGCCAATGTCTCATGTTTATATTATAAGTTTGAAATTAATCCAAAATGTTAATACCAAATTAATTTTTGCATAGTCAATATTATTTCATTTTATGAAAATAAAAGCAAAACAAACTACATAAGACAGAGAACCCACAACTAGCACTTGCATTGCTGATCACTCATCTCGGTAGACTCGGAGAGACAATGGCTCTGGGGTTCACGGATGACGTCATCCCCAGCTGATATCGGGGAGTCAGCCTAGCGTGACGTCACACAAACACGGCACGCGCCTCCCTGATTAAAACTTTTCTCCTTTTCCACTTGGAAAAGCGGCAAAGTCCTGATTAGTACGGGTGTATTTATATTTACTCGTGTTTGTCATTGAACATTTGCAGTAATGAGTACCGGAATCAATTTGTATTTATTACTTTACAAATAATATTTGATAACTTTAAATTAAGTAAATAAACAAAGATTCCGATTAGTTTGGACTAAGAAAATTGGGGAAACAATGTTTTTTTGTAATGCAAGTTCGGTATTAAATCATTCACATTAGTTATGAATTATGACTTTCACACCATCAACATGTACAAATCAATTTACTGGATTCAAAATCACCATGTTAAATAAATGCCCGAGAAAAAAGAAAAACATAGGATGTAAAAGAAAAGTAAATAAAGACAAATGAAAAACTTAAGTGGATTATTTTTAATTTTTACAGAACAAGTATAGTCAATTACAAGACAGTAAATCATTGCCGCAGTGTTATGACTGAGTGAAGCTCGTACTACTCCACTTTCGGATGTCATGTCCTTTCGACACTAAGTATGCTCACCCAAGAGTAGGTGATTGTTATAAGATTATTTTTGTACGATTAGTTTACAGGGTTGATATATTGTTGATATGTTAATTGATTCTTGTACAATTATAAGTAGTATTTTTTAATGTTAAGGATATGGGAGTTACATTCAACAAACTGTTATGCAGATTTTGGAAATAGTTCTTTAATACAGGAGTAGTTTCCCCTCTTGAGACACATATCATTTCCGTTGCTAAATACTGCACATAGGTCTAAACCCTCCTTACACTAATTTGTCTCAAAATTTTAACATTGCTAGGGGATTGTCACAGTTTCTTATGAGATGGTAAGGGAGTTGGCTGGTCTGGTGGTAGAACGTGGGAGTTTGGTCACCAAGGTCCTGGCTTCAAAGCTTTCCAACCACAAATGGACTTTATCTAAAAGGTAACACCAGAACCCATACACCATACCTAACCTGAAGTAATGTATAAACAACTCCAGGGTTAGAGTCTAGTAAAAACAATTCTGTTGTTGGTGCCGGTGGCTCCAGGACTGAAGTATTCAGTTTTATCGACAAAACTAGTGGCGTGTCATGCATAATCTTGATCAGTCAATCTATATTAAGTGTGAGATGACTAAACTACGTACACTCAATTATGCGAAGGGGTGGATTGGCTATCTTGATGTGTATCTTAAGATTTGAACATTGTACTAGTTTTTAGCAAAAATAAACTTAAATTACGTCTCGTTGAAAATGAAAAATACAGGACAGAGTTTCGAAGCTATTTAAAATTTAACTCCAGTGAAGTTTATCTTATTGTTTTAAATTTTGTTGACAACAAAGCCGGGATTACTCATGACTAGAAAATCTTTTAATAGCTCATCTTTATGACATCCCTCAAGTTAAACTGAGTTATATCTGAGGCACGGTAGTTTTTCGGATAGAGCAGTACAGTGTAGGCCTACTTCTTGGCTTGGAGGCCGGGTTCAAGTCCAACTAATTATTAAAATCATCGGGGGCTTTTATCCTGGTAATAATAAATTTAGCTACCTCATGGTTTGGAGCCCAAACGAGGCTATAAATCTATACATATAACATACAAGTAAATAAACAATAGACCTCTAGGCTGAAGTCAATTGTCTCTACATCGGAGCCCCTTCCACTAAAAATGTAATAACGCAAATTTGATTGTTTTTACTTTCTCCCCCTATACATAGTATATGGAGAAAGTATTGTTTTCGTCAACATTTTCGAGTTTGAGTTTTGAGTGGATATATCCGTTTTGGGCCCCCCTGAGCCGAAAAAGTGGTTTTCGAAGTGTGTGTGTGTGTGTGTGTGTCTGTGTGTGCGTGTGTCTGGATGTGTACAGAGCTACAGACCACACCTTTAGTCCGATTTTGGTGAAATTTGGTATGTAGGTACTAATCCATAGTATCTCCAGATGTTTTTTTCATTTTTTTGAAATTTAGATTTTTAATGGGGATGTTCCCATAAAAACCCATCAAATAACGGAAAAATCGAATTTTCTCAAAAAATGGCCAGAACGATTTTGATAAAAATTTGTATGTTGTAGCCCTTTAAATTCTGATCAAAATGGTGCAACTCCCATTTCTGTAAAGATTACGGTTCAAAAGTAATTGTAAATCATGTTATTTTGCCATTAAAAAACCCCATTAAATAAAAGAAAATCGTATTTTTGAACATAGTGCAACCCCCCCCCCCCTCATTGCTGTAAAAATTATGGTTCAAAAGTTATTGTAACTTATGCTATTTTCCCATAAAACACCAATTTAAAAACTGAAAAATTAATTTTTTTTTACAAAACCGATTTTGAATGAAACTCTTCTGTTATAATTCTTAGAATTCTAAACAAAGTAGTGCATCCCTTAATTCCTGTTAAAAATTAATGTTCAAAAGTTAATGAAACTTTTGTGATTTTATCTATTAAATATCTTAGTTACTCTCATTGTTTACCCATGATAAAGGTTGTCGACGAGCTAATAAGAGAAAGTATTTGTCAGATTACTTATACCGTTTATTTAAATTGTTATATTAAAAAGGTGAAGAACTTACAAGAACAGTTAGAACAGCTTCCGGAAATTACGGCTTTTAAAGGTTAACTGTCAACCTTACTTCAGAACAGCTGTTGTATGACCAAAGTGTTCTCAAAAGTAAGAAGAGGAAGATGAGGCGGACCAAACCCGCGGCTCAATTTATATTAATGAGTCTTAGCGGCAACTTTGTTTTATAGAATTGCCTTAAGCAAAGCTGAGTTTATCAAGGAGTTTTAAAATCTGGACAATAGATCTACAAGCTACCCAAAGGTTAATAGTGAGTGTAAAAGAAGGAAAAGAGTCGGCTCATTGAAACCATTTTGAAGTTTTAGGGTATATACGTGTTATACAACGTTTATACTGATTTAAATATAGTGAAATTTATTTCCCATCTAGTTGCTATTTGTGTTGTAATTTTTGGCAACATGCAAGACAAGATAAAGATAAAAAAGTGATTTTTAGGGAATGTATCGTTTAAATGAACGATTTTTCCTAAATATGTGAACAAAGAATAATAACTATTACATATAGATGCAGATTAAATTTTATTAATTTCTTTACGAATATTGTACGTGATATTGAATTTATGGAAAGTAAATAAAAACACGATCAATAAGACCTAACACATACATTTACACTTATACTGTTAATGTTCACTCAAAAGACGGGAAAATTTTAAAAAAGTGGTAAGTAGTGATCGACTTCGGTTAGACATTATAATCAATTTTTTTACTTACCATCTTTTGTACGTATTTACCATCTCGTGAGTTAACACAAGTGTCCTAGACAAAATGTTCATTGACTTTTTTGTAAGATTAAAATCTACTCAAGATTGTACATTTTATTGTAGCACTAGCATATTATTAAGCATTTTCTTGACAATTGGGGCACAAATAAAATTGTAATTTGCTATTTCGGTTGAATTTCGTACATCATCGAATAAGCTGGATCTGATTCCTAATGTTTTTATGGGTCAACTTAAAGCCACATTTATGCTTCTGTGAGTCTGGCTACCCATTTTATATTGGACACGTTATCGTGATAGAATTTGTAAGGCGTAGCTTATCTACATAACATGGTTTGAATTCATTTACACCTACACCACACTTAAAAAAATATTTATTATTATTTAAAATTATTATTATTATTATTATTTATTATAAAAAAATATTTATTATTATTTAAAATTATTATTATTATTTATTATTAAAAATTATTAAAAAATTATTACAAATTATTTGAATAATAATATATCTCCTACACAGTAATCTACGTACGTTAGTACGAAACACTTTTATTTATGACTAAATGTCAAACCATAATTTATGCTCAATTGCACTA